CCCCTACCCCCATGTTCCCCGGATCTGTCATCCCATTGTTCTCTCTTCTGGCTTGTTTATTCCACCTATCCCTTCCAGGTAGACATGCTATGTACACATCACCAGACTGAGTGCAATGAAGTGACAACAGAAAGTAAACCAATGGCTACAACTACAACACACACACACACACACACATATGCATACATATGTAACCGTATGAATAGTTCAGGGTCTGTCTGTTTTCCTTCACATGTGCTTTCCAGTCAAGTCTGGTGGGGAGCCATGCCCCTGCACCGCCTGTATCCCTGGGGACCTCACCACTCTGGCCCCCCTCCCCCCCCTCTGATGCATGCCCCCAGAGGCTGGCGTTTGGCGTGGTGAGCTCATGGCGGGCACAATTTCCGCCATTTGTCTCCAAGGGTGTGATGGGTCAACGAGGAATGTAGTGTCACGTGGTGAGGCCGGCCTGTGGTCATCTCCGTGCATCGCTGTTCCGAGCAGGCACATTGTCCCCAGGGCTCCACGATCCGGGATGTGCTCCACTCTTTCCTTTTCTTCCCCTTCCCCCGCTCATTGGCTCACATGCGCTCCGACCAGACCAGTCCCCCTTCTCCTCTTCCCACGCTGCAGCTTCAGTGCTGTCCTCTGAAGTGAATTCCCCCAGGGGGAGGGTGGTGCTGTGCACCTGGTTGGTAATGGGGCCAGTCCCTCAGGCCCTTCCATCGGTTCCCCACTTCTTGTCAGTTTGTTGTGTTCCTGTCTTGGAGCTCTGGGTTGAAGTCTGGTCCCTCTTTCCCTATGGAGACACAATCAACATCCTCCCCGTGTGTTCCCTTTTAGTGGGCTACCATATGTATCCCTGGGTTTAGTCTGGCCCCTGCCATATAACCTGGACCTCACTCCAGGGATGTATGTATACAGCATCTCCTTCCCTATGCCCTTTTTGGGAAAAAAATTTTTTTTTTTCCCCCTCAAATTTTAAGGCTCAGGAAGCCCCACCTCTCACCCCCTTTAGTGCATCTCCCTCTCCCCTTTTTAAGTAAAACTGCGAGGAGGAAGTCCAGGACATTGAGCAGATTAAAGTAAAACTACTCTGATGGACGTGAAGATTAGGGGCTTTTCTCTCCTTTCTGGGTCAGATGCCTGAGACATTCCCCTGGAATCACTGTCTTATAAAATTAGGGATTTCCTTTCCTTGTCATTTGATAATTTGTGAAGGTTACTTCAGTGGTGACATTTTGAAAGTTAATATCCAGATCTCTTCATACGAAGAACAGTCTGGCTAACGTGCCATTGTGTATGCTTTTGATTAATTTTAAGAAATGACTTACTTTATGTTTTTGAATAGGTTTTATGTTTTGAATATATTTATATGACACGAGATTCAAAATGAAGAAAAGTTTATACAATGAAAAGCCCCTCACTCCTCAGTATCTGGTAACCAAAATTCACTGTCTTTGAGTTGATGCGGACTCAGCGCTCCTACAAGACAGGGTAGAACTGCCCCTGTGAGTTTCCGACTTTGGAACTCTTTAGGGGAGTAGAAAGCCGCGTCTTTCTCCAGAGGTGCCTCTGGTGGTTTTGAACCCCGGACTTTTGGATCGCAGCCCAACACAACCACTATGTCACCAGGGCTCTCACTGTCTCATAAGGGACACTGTAAATGGTACATTCACATGCAAATGCATTTTTCTTTTTAAACACAAAACAAGGAGCATGCTGTATGCATTGTCTCTTTCTCAAGGACTGCTTTCCAAGGTAAATTGCTACCAATAGTAATGGGTTTGAGTTTTATTGACCAGGATTATCTGACTTTATTTAACCAGTTTCCTCTCAATAATTGTTTCTATGATTTTGCTGTTGGGTTCAGTGCTACAATAAATGCTCTA